CCATTTCCTGATGTAACTGCACATTCTACAAACCCATGACAGAAATACTAAGTTTAAAGGCTTAGAGAGTATGCACAGCACAAATTTCATTTTTAAAGAAAATAAACATGAATATATAGAAAAATGATTGCATAGTCACTAAAGTATTAATAATGGCTTTGTCTCCAGGTGGTGGGATTATGAGCAATTATTTTGTTGTAGTTATGGGAAAGTATTCTCAAAATAACTAATTTAAGAACCAAATGTTTTACCACTGACACAACTATTTTGTCCTTTTCTGTTTTCACATTAAACTTAAAAGCTACCAATCACTATGAATTTGTCAGAGTGGCTACATACATTCTGATATACTTGTACGATTTCTTAAAAGATGAAAAAAATAGCATCAGGCCAAAAAAAGAATAAATTTGCTCTAAGAATGGAAAACAACTGACAAGTGACTTAACCATTGGGCTTCGTATAGCTATATAATTCCATAGGAAAATCAGTCTAATAATTTTTAGGTACTGTCCTTATACCAGTTCAGAATGAGTATTTATTATTGTTTTATAAACATTTCTCTCTGTACTAGTAACAGCACTGCTAATCAAAACTTATACTTAAGCTATTTAAGACTGTCTTAGATGTGAGGTTAACTGTCTGGCAAGACTAAAAGAACAAAAAGTTTCACATTAGCAGCAAATCAACTAGATGTAAGGGTCTTGATTTTTTTGTAAGCCTTTGGAAGCCTGCATGTTAAACACTGGTGATTTTTAAATTCTCAATGGAAATGGTGATGGCATTCACTTAACTAATAGCTCAAATTATACTATAGTAAAAGCATGAACAAATATAAAATTGTTTGCCTGAATCAAACTATAAAATATATTTTTTCAGAAATCACCAATTTTAGATTCCAGTATAGTTTCTAAACATACTTCAAAAGGAAAATATGTGTGTATACACACTTCTCATACTTTTTTATATTATACATTATTCACATTCATTTTAAAAAAAAAGTCACATGGAAAAAATTTAAACTTGAAATATCATTAAATTCCAGTTACATAAATGCTCTGCTTTATTTTTAAAAACATTTGTACAGCCACACTTATTACCTTACTATGCTTTGCTGAAAGGATATGCCTTAGACTTTAAGCTTTTAAGATTAGAAATAACAAGGTTGAATTCAAGTTCTTTACACTCTTCTGGAATAGAAATTTGTAAATGGCACTAATCACAATGAGTAGATGAAGCTTCCCATATGTTAATGGCAGACTACAGAATCATAAAGAATGAAAAAGCCACAAACTGAAATCTGAAGTATCAAATCCTTTCTGGGGAATTATCTGCAGACATCTGGCTTAGTTTAAAAAAAAAAAAAAAAAAAAGCACAAATTTTTCAAGAATCTTGAAGTTTTTCAAGATTAGGATGTTATGTAATGTAATGTGCTTAAAACAATTTATTGAGTGTTGACTAAGGGCCCTAAAAAGTGCCTTTCTCAAACGTGAGTAGACTGATACTCTACTCCCAGGCTGACAAAGTCCATGTTTTAATAATTGTAGACTATGAAGAACAGCAGGGGGGGGGCGGGGGGAAACTTAATAGAAAATGTAGTAAGCACATTTGGCTGCCCATTATTTAAAATTTCAACAAATTTAAGCAATTTAAATTATACTCTGATTTAATAAAACACCCACACAATGACAAGAATGAGACTTTAATCAGTTTTAAGTGGAGTTTATAACACTAAAGATAAAGGGTTGTTAACAAACACAATAACAAATGGACATCTGATTGGTATGAGGCATTTTCTGTACACATATTTTTTGTGTATCCTCAGTGCATAGCATTTACACACAGAGCCACTGCTGCACAGCACAAGAGTATCTGAAGAGGCTGAATCAGAGTAAGGCTGTTTTAACAGACTGAAATTTTTTAGTATATATAGTCTATATGAAAACAGATTGAACTTTTGAACTGGCAGGGTAGAAGGCAACTCTGCCACACACTGCAGTTAAAGCCCCCACTTTAGTGCACAGTTCCACCCCTTCCATCTGCATGCATGACACATTAACAGTATTTAAAGGTAAACGAGGCACTTTGTGGCAACCACAGCCATCGTTATAAACATATTGCACAAATTTTCTAGAACTAAACATGTAACTTGTACCCTACTTTTATTTTTTTAAAGCTGAAACATTTGATGCTGCCAGTAAACTCCACGTAAGTTTATAACCTGTGCCACAGCAAAGAATGGTGATGCTATTTATTCAACTACCCTTTAATAATTATGGCAAAAAATATTCAAGAGGAGCTACAGAGGACTTGGGATGGTACAGGGCCCAATTGTAAGCTTTCTTAAAAGTGATGCCTTCAAGTAACTTCAGACATGTAAGCGGCTGCACATCCAAAAAGTCTATGAAAACATTCCAGAAACTCAAGAGATTACCTACAGAATGCATTTCAGGCTAATTATGAATACTGTCATAAATAAAGTTTTAATTAGGACTCAAAAACTTTCAGTCATAGCAATTCTTGTCAACTTCTATGGGGATGGTAACTGAAATAAAGGAGAGTAGTATGTATAATATATATTTATATATATATATAATATATATAAAATGCCATTTTTTCCATTTCCAATGACTACACCATAAAATGTAAGCAAGGCTTCTCAAAAACATTGAAACATTCAAAATCAAAACCCTCATTCAGACCTTCACATTCCAAAGGAAAAATAATAACAGTGCAAAAGCCCATTAAATGTCATTATTTATGACCTGGCCCTCCATGTTACATATCGGAACAATACAAGTTATATTTTAATATACTGTGCCCAAAACTGTAACAAATAACAGTAATAATAACTATCTTCAAAACATCAATGATTTTCAACTTAGTCAACAATTTTCAGCTTTTATGAAAGGTGGCATATAAATTCCAATGTGAGATCTTAGGAATAGTTGTCTCTAACCTTACCAATTTAATTTATGAGCAGTCAATCAATTCTTTATATAACAATGTTTAAATATAAATGTGTAAATCCTAAGAGCTTTGTTAAAAATTTAAAAATTTTATTTGCTGAATGAAAACTGATGAGGTATGGAAAACATGTTAACATTATTTACTAAGAATATTTTAGATGAAGTTCTGCCTAATCTATTTACCATCAAACTCTATAAATGCTGCTTTAATAGATCCTATGCAATCTGTATTTGTAAATTAGCTAGGTCAGACCACAGCTAGTGAACAATTTCAGCACCAATAAGTTATTGAAAATGAGATTTTACACCATTAAGAAATAAATTGGATATTCAAATGTTTCAAGGGCAAGCTATTATTTGAAAGACACCAAATTTCTGGGGAAATTTTTTTTTAATAATATCTTCACATTAGCTTTACATTAGTAGTTGTATTCTGCTTAAAATAATATGCAGTCTGGGCATATCAAATATATGATACTTAAGTGAAAAAGAAGCCCTAGTTCTAACTCTAGCACTACCAAGAAATAACTCAACACTGCACATCTAAAAGAAAATCTATTCTTTCAATAGCAAATTGTTAAAAGCATTATGTGGGACAACTTCTACTGAAAAAGTAAATGCCTTATTGTTTGTGCAGCATTGAAATTTACTGCAACTCTAATTTCCTTTTTAACACAAATAATGTCCTTTTAAATATAAACATTATATGTATTCAGTATTCAAGTAAAATTCCCTAACAGTTAATGACATTTTAAAAATGTGCAAAACTGCAAAACTCATTGTAATAGAATGTGTAAGGTCAAAAGGTGGAACGGCTGACAGCTATTGGACTAAATAAGTGCATCATCATAAATCTTTAAAGAAAAAAAAAAAACTGCTTACTGTAGAATCTCAAATTGAAATTTCCTGTGCAGCATTACAAAAGTTTATATTTAATGAGAAAAAAGAAGCTTGCAGGCAGCACATGAAGCATCCACAGCAGGTATATGATTGAAAACTAATAAAATATGTGTAAGTTGTTGACTGATGTAGGTAATAAGAGTATCTGACTTTTAGCACTGGCCTTGATTACACAGGAGATGGAGCATTCATTACAATTGAGAAAACGTATTTATAAATCATTGTCAATTTTTATAATGTTTCAAGCCCATTCTTTGTTGATAGCCTCCACATTTATATGGTTAAGTCATTGTTGCTGTGTTTCTTATCTATGACCACATTATTTTTATATCCCTTCATTTGTGGATTCTTAAGATGTTGTGCAAGGTTCATTCCTGTACCCCAATACAGATTCACTCCCTCTAGCTGCCTTTTCTAGCACCAATATGCTTTAAAAAAATAATAAAATGCACAAACAACAAGCAGTGACAGCGGCCAATTCCTCAAATATCCAGATTAATAACTGTAGCATGCTAAAGAAAGGTGTGTGTAAATAGCTGGAGATGTTATATGGTCCAGAGTCCAGCATAAAATATATTCCTTTCTGAGCATTCCCTCCATTCCCCTAACTCGAATACATGCATTAGAATGTAGCAAAACCCTTTAGAAACTCCTCCAGCCAACTGCAAACTTATCTGTTGCCACAAGTGCAAAGGGGTAGGATGTGAACCTGTATATCATCACAAAGCTCTTTAGCCACTTCGGTTGGTGACAGAACACACAATGAGAAATTCCTACATATACACATCAGTCTGTCTCCACGTTTTATAAAACTGGAATAAAATGGGAAAGTGCCATTTTTATTTATCCTAATTGAATTTTAAATGTTCTTTTGACACAAAAAGGTATATACATGACACAGTTACACAATCTTTTTTTCAACTGGACAACAAGTGTCAAAACCCTGTGGATGTATAGGGTAAAACAAGATTGGTCAGGAAAAGAGAATTGTTCCTATAACTGGTAATCTGACACAATGTCCTATTGCCATTAAAAAAAAAAAAAAAAAAAAAAAAAAAAAAAAAAAAAAGGTCCATTTTCAGTTTATTCAAGTTTGTTTTCATGGTATTTTATCCCTCTTCATAAAAAAAAATTCAGACTTTCGTAATTTGTGTATGCTGATCTTCATCAAAAGGTTCATTCTCTGGATCAGAGTCAGTGGTGTCAGAATACCTATAATGATCAGGTTCATTGTCACTAACATCTGGTGTTACAGAAGTTGAACTGCTAGCCTCTGGATTTGATGGCTCCTCTACTGTTTTTGTGAAGTATAGCTTCACCTAGAGAAAAAAGAGAAAGTTTAAATGGAAAATCCATAAATCAGACTAATTTTAAATTAGTTAGTATAGACATACTTTTAAAAGATTCATTTTTAAGTACTATGACAAACATAATCTTTAAAAGGCAGCTTGTCTTTTAAATGACCCCTCTCCCCCTTCTTAAAATTTCTTACACTGTCTTTTCTTATATGGTAAGAAGATAAACTGGCATGTTAATATATTTTTTTAATAAGCATTAACTTCAAGCATTATCTAAATATACAAAACAAATATACACTGAGACTGAAGTTCATCAATAGTTGACAAAATATATTTTCATCACAAAATTCTATTCACTAACAGTTGAGTTCCAAAAGAATGTTTCACTTACTACCTATTTGAAAATCTATGTATTTTTTTTATATAAAAATACTAAACAAATACAAATATTATTCTATATAATAAAAGCCTAATATGCCAAGTGCCCGATCATTGGTTCAACCAGTCGCTATGACATGCACTACCACTAGGGAGCAGATGCTCCGACTGGTAGGTTAGCTTGCTGCTGGGGTTTGGTCCAATTAGGACTGGGTGAGACGGAACGGACACACCTTGGAGCCTTCCCGCAGTCCCTCTCCACTCCTGATATGCACCCGTGGGGTCCCCCTCTATCTAGCCTGTGCCCTCTCACAATTCAGGACCACTCAGGGGATGTCGGAACGCCAGTTTTGGCCGATCCCCGCAGGCCAGGCCAAAAGACACCACCAATGCACGCATCTGTGCACTAGGCCTCCAGTACTATATAAAATATTGATCAACAACAATGTTTAAGATCTCAATAGTCCTAAAAACTTCTCCTGAAGGAAGGAAAAGAAAGTTAACATCATACAGTGGTTTAAATAAGACAACCAAGGGCCTTACAGGCTTAGATAAAATTATTGTCAAAACAGCTCTACAAGACAAGAAGGAAGCTAAGGCAGAGGAAGCTAAGGCCCAGAGAGATTAGGTAACCTGCCGAAGACCACCTATCTAGTGGGATTTAAATTAGAATCCCTTGCTTACTCTATTATATCTACAGCCTCTCCTCACATTACCTAAGAGTCATTAATTCTTCTCCTTCTTTTATATCAGTAATCCATAAACAGTTGCTCCTGGAACAACAAAGAGGTCAGGAGCACCAACTCTTATGCAGTTAGAAATTGATGTACAACTTTCAACTCCCCAAAAACTTTACAGCTATTCCCCTGGTACCCATGAGGGATTGGTTCCAGTATCCTTCTGTGGTTACCAAAATCTGTGGATGCTCAAGTTTCTTATATAAAAGGGCATAAAACAATGCATACAGTTGGCCCTGTTGGTTGAATCTGTGGATGCAAAACTCGGGGTTACAGAGAGCCAACTCTGTATTTATTGGAAAAAAAAAAAAATCCTCATATAAGTGGATCTGCGCAGTTCAAACCCATGTCATGCAAGAGTCAACAGTATACCGGATAGCTTCTCATTACCCCTCACTGCTACTACTCTACTCCACTAGTCCAAACCACCACACTTCTCATCTGAACCAAACCACAGCAACCATTTCCAATCTTAACTCCTCTCCAGCCTATATATATTCAAGAAGTGGAGAGAGTGAACATTCAGATTACATCTTTCCTATGCTAAATACACTCTGTTTTTACATTTGGACCAGTGTGCTTTAGTCCGAATGTAAAGACATTAAATGACTTATTTATCGATCCTCAAATAACACCAAGCTCCTTAATATCTCAGGACTTTTGTACCTGCTCTTTTCTCATATATTTGTGTGGTTTAGTCATTTCATTTAGGCCTCTAATTAAAATGCCACCTGCTTGGGGAGACCTTCTCTAACCATTCAGTTAAAAAATACACAAGATCATTCTCTATCACATCTTTATTTATTTAAAAATATATATATTTTTTATTGATTTCAAAGAGGAAAGGAGAGAAAGAGAAATATCAATGATGAGAAAGAATCTTTGATTTGTTGCCTCCTGGATGCCCCCTAGAACCTGAACATGTGCTCTGACAGGGAATTGAACCTCCTGGTTCATAGGTCAACGCTCTATCACTGAGCCTCTGCTTTATTTTTTCATAGCACTTACCAATACCAATAATTAAAATATTTTTTTTGTTTACTGATATTTAAAAGGTTTTTTTGTAATCATAAGTATATATTAAAACAGAAAACAATAAAACTAGAGCAAGTTATACTTTAAAAGCTAGTGATTGAGAAAAATGTAGACTTAAAAGAAAAGAAAGTAAATGGAAACTTGTGGATTCTAAAAGACACTTTATAAATACTTTAAGAAAATATATGATCTAAAGGTACTTAATACTGGATCTATTTTCAGTTAAAATGGGTAGCCACCCCTTTATTTTATTATTACTAGCAATATTCTTACACTTATAAGCTATGATTAAGATTGTTATAATATATATACAAATGGAATGAAGAAAAAAAGTAAGAATTTTTAAAGAGAGAAAGTAGGAAGGATGGTGAAAGCAAAGGGAGGAAGTCAAACAGAGTATGAAATAGGAAAGGGAAAGAAAAAAATGTCAAACCTCCATTTCGGAACCTGGAGAATTATTACTTATGCACGGGAACACACACACATACAAACAAACAATCACAAATATATGAAATTAAAATAAACAAATAATTCCATAATGAGAGGAAACAATTGTAGAAAGGCAGAAAGGGGAGGATGATGAGAGAACGCCTTTCAGTCCACATAAAATTGAAGATAAGACTAGAATATGGGCTGAAACTGGTTTGGCTCAGTGGTAGAGCGTCGGTTTGCAGACTGAAGAGTCCCGGGTTCGATTCCGGTCAAGGGCATGTACCTTGGTTGCAGGCACATCCCCGGTAGGGAGTGTGCAAGAGGCAGCTGGTCGATGTTTCTCTCTCATCGACGTTTCTAGCTCTCTATCCCTCTCTCTTCCTCTGTAAAAAATCAATAAAATATATTAAAAAAAAAAAAAAAAGACTAGAATATGAGAAGGGTATCTATGTGAAGGGTAGGGAAAAGGCTGAGGGTGGAGAGGTACAGGAGGAGGAAAGAACTGGAAAGACTAAGAGGCAGAACCATCTTGGAGATAAAGAAAGACCAATATGAGTGAATCCCAGGGAAAAGGGAAAGAATATGTCTCCGGTTGATATAGGAAGTAGGCCTGTGCTAAGAAATACCTGTGCTAAGTAATACAAGTTCTTGTTGGGCAAAACAAAGACTATAACATCTTAAAAATTGCCAACAGGAATGACACAATCAATCTCTATTTAAGATCACTGTGAGGGACTGAGAATAAATTGGAGGACTACAAGAGTAAAATCAGTGAGAACATCCCATATGAATTCTTCTAAAATAATTAAAAGTTTCTTCTACCCTTTACTTCCCCTATTTCTCCTTCATATCCCACTTAATTAATTCCTCCCAAACAACTGCCTCAAATTTAACCAAACAACAAAGGAATAAGGAAAGTACAGCTTTCATGACTTGTTACACATCTTGAATTTTATTAGAAACTATCAGACTGCTGCTGCATAAATATTACTTCTAAATAATATTTAATTTAAAAATTAGTCAAGGAAGGCCTTCACAAAGCTATACACCTAAAATAAAAGAAGCACACACACAGAGCCACCCACCAACTCCTCAAAATGTTTTTAACTGACCTTAAAATTTGGAGAAAAGTATCGATTGGCCTTGTCTTTATTTGCTTTGTCGAGATCATTTTTTGTTAAAGTGAGTACTAGATATTCTTTGTCATTATCTGATCGCTCTATACTGCAAATACTATCAATTTCTTGATCACATAGACTTCCATTTTCTACTTTTTCTGACGTCTCCTCTGGTCCTGGTATGAAGAATGTATTTACCCAAAAATGAAACATTTTGTCCTAAAAAATAAAGTCAAAATAAGCCATGTTATTTAATATTTTGAATAAAGGTAAACACAAAGACTAATACTTAGCAATCCATTGTATCTAATTTACATGATTTTTCTTTTCTTCAAATTTTAAACCAAAAATGTAATTCCACAAGTTATAAGATAGCTTACTTTTGCTTTAAAACCTTAAGTAAAATGTCTCCTTTCTAGTCTAATATTAGCCTTCAAAAAGGTTTTGAGTTTGTATATATGTATGTATTTAAAAATTCAGAAATGGATTTAATTTTCTCTATGTTTCCATAGCTATTAAAAAATTTACTTTAACAGAAGTTGTTGAACTATCAGGTACAACTCCCCAACGAAGCAAGACAGATACATTGTTACTGCTATGGCAATTCAAACATTAAACAGCTCTAGTTTCTTAAGTAACAATGAATGTTTGAAAAAATTCATAATAAAATATGAAGTGGGAGGGGAGACGGTAAGTACTTTTGACTTTTTTTTGTTATAAAATGCTTATTTTTAAGGAATCACTTCTTACTAGTAATGTGAGGTCTTATTAATCAAAAATGGCATCAGATGTTCATTACTTCAAACCTTTCTTAACCAACAACAAAAAAATGTTTCCTCTCTTACTAGAATTTGGCCTGCATGGATCATTTGACAATTAAAGATGTACAACCTTGTGATACCTTATCTGGTCATTTAAATATTTTATTTAATTTATCTTTAAGTTACCCCACCCATGGGAGTATCATATCTTAAATGTTTTTTGCAGTTTTTAATAGTACTTAGCACTGCCTTTTAAAAAATATTTGTTTTAATTATTTTACCAAAGTCACTAAATTAGTAACTACACACACATTTTACTTAGAATCAGAAGAAAATAAGCTAGTAATATTCAAATTTCCAAAAATGTGGATTCCATATAAATACAGTGATTATACTAAACCTGTTTTTGTTTAAATCACTGCAAACATTTGTAACAGGAAGAAAAAAATCACATATAATGGAAATGTATGTAAGTAATCCAAAATACAGATATATTATAAATATTTAACGAATCTTTAATTTTACATGTTAATATAATGCACAGGAGATAACTGAAATACGAATTAGCACACTCGCAAAGGTACAGAGAAATAGATTAAGGTGCCCGTTTGTTTTTAAAGACAAAATACAAGATTTTAAGTGTACTTGATTTACAATGAATAGAAGAAAAAACAACTATCTTAATTTTAAAACATTTGCTAACGCTTCTTGGTTTGTTTATTTATTTATTTAGATAGTATCATCTTCTTTTTATAGGTTTTTACTGATTTTTAGAGGGATAGAGAGATAGAAACATCAATGCAAGAGAAACATCACTGATCGGCTGCCTCCGCAAGCCCCCCCACTAGGGACCAAGCCCACAATCCTGGAATGTCCCCTGATGGAAATCCAACTGGTGACCACACCGGCTGGGCACTTCTTGGATTATTAAAAAATAATTTTCAAAGTTATTGAAATATATTTATATAGGACAAGTAAAAAAAAAAATAGGTTTCTGGTGAAAAAAATTAGTTTAATATTTTGTTATTTCCTAACTACTTGGATTCTAAATAAAGAAAATTATATTTCTTCTAATAAGTCATAGTAGAGTTAAAAATTTTTGTAGTAAATGAAACTTCCTCTTATTTTCTTTAAAAAAAAAAAAAAAGGCTAAACATCAGGAAAATTAAATCAATCCTATTACTAAAAATTTCTAAAAATTGGTAATGTGCTATACAGATGTTTAAAGAGGCAAGTAACAATATGCAAAAGCTACTATTTTTGTTCATTACCAATTAAAAATTTTTTTAGCTTCATCTAAATGTTCACTTATAATATTTTAAAACAACATAGTTTAAAAATGAGCTTATATTTTCTAAATATAGATCAATAAGATACAAACCTCACTTTTTTAAACCTATATATTTAAATAATATATTTTTTCCATTCTTTATTACTTCCTCTTCATACCTATTTCTCTTCTAGCTAAAACTCGAAATATTTAGTAAATTTGAAGAAGCAAAATATAAATGACATAATTGTAAGAAACAGAAACCAAAATGGGGGAAAGTGGTTTGTGTCATTATACAAGACCATGAAACAGATCTTATTTATACATAGAGACCAAGTTTATTTGAAACTCATGATCCCTTGCTAACTTCTTCTCAGGTAATTAATCACCCCTGTAAGAAGATTAAAACTGATTTCGTGTAGTATCTATACAATCTTTACTATTTTTACAAAATTCCTTTGTATAACTCAAGTTAAAGAAAATTCATCTCAAATTACATTTAACTTTAAAAGGTCTTCTGTCCTTTTTCTTCTAATAGAATTATTTACCATTATAATGACTCATCAATGCCTACAGTAAGCAATGCATGTGCAAATCTAATAGAAAACCAATTCTAATTCATTAGATATCAGTCATAAAATGAAATAAGCCTTTTAATATATCCTTACAGGTTGATTTCTGCCTAACCAAATACTTTACACAAAAGATCTAAGGTTACTATTCAAGGTGCAGTTATTTTTATATTTTTCCCAATAAAAGTAAAGTGCAAACCTTCTTTAGCTTGTTCTGTTTGTGGAAGAACTCTACTTTGATGTCACCACACACAGGCAATGGCTGAGGGAACTCAAAGTACATGAACTTGTCTTCCCGACGTGTGGGTCCTGAACTGGAGGAATATATCTTCACCTTGAGCTGGCAGACCACAAAATGAGGATCTGCATGGTTAAATACATATAAGTATCATTTCACAGAAAATGGGCTTTAACTAGCAAACTGTCAAAAACTATTTTAATTGTTAATATTAGCAATATATACAAAATAGTAATTCTGATATTCTAATCCTGATCTAAAACAAATTAATAATATAAATTAGGTAAAAATGTAATCAATACAAAATTTTCCCCAATCTGAACCTTCAACATAAGGTTCTATTGCTGGCATGAAAGTCAATTCTGTTTCAAAAATAATAAGTCCTAAAATTAGACTTCTAGCACTATAGTAACATAAAAACTTTAACACTAAAATGATGTTAGAAATGCTTAAAATAACTTTCTGGCACATCTATGAACTGCTTAAAGGTAAGTTTTAAAAGTTACTTTGGTGCAATATTTTAAAGTCTCTATCATGTAACAAAATCCAAAAAATCATTACATGTTCACAAGAGGTAAGAAAATATACTCTATAGAAAGTTATACTAAATTGATGTCTTTAAAGATGAAAAAAAAGTATCCCATTCTTTATACTAAATAAACATAAGTCTCAATATTTACAAAAATATTAACTGTCATTCATTTTACCTACAGCTCACACTTTATTTTTAAAGGTATATAAAGCCACCATGATGAGAAACAGGAAGGAGAGGATTTGAAATGTCTGCTAAGAAAGGCAACAGACATAAAGTACATATCGAAGTGCACTGCCCTGCTCCCGTCCCCCCAATTCATTTACAAGTATTTTGATTTTGGTTTATGTCTGCTTTATATAACTGGTGCCCAGCTGGAGTGACTCAGTGGTCGATCATCAACCTATGAACCAGGAGGTCTCGGATTTGATTAGTGGTCAGGGCACATACCTGGGTTGTAGGCTAAGTCCCCGGTGGGGGCGCATGCAGAAGGCAGCCAATTAATGATTCTCTCTCAACACTGACGTTTCTATCTCTCTTCCTCTCCCTCCCTCTCTGAAGTCAATAAAAATTCAAAATGAATGAATGGATGAAAGAATGAAAATAACTGATAAAATATGATGTATCATGCGTATGTATTAGCAATGCAACTTAAAGGTAATAATGACAAAGTATAACTAATTTATGGTACAATGAGTTCAAACAATTTCATAAAAGAGTGACTAGCCTTAGGAGGGTTCGAAGTGGGTTTTTGAAGGAAACATGTCAAAATAATTAAGAAATAAAAGCAAGCTTGCATTAAGTGCATGAGAAATAAATACGTGTATATATACACATACACGTACATACACACATAGAAATAAAATTCTCCCACCACAAGGCATTATCTTTAAAGATGAAAAAAAAGTATCCCATTCTTTATCAATAAGACCAACAATTAAGAACAAGGCAAAAATGCTATCCAAGCTAAATGAATTCCCCAGTTTAATAAACATCTACTAGCTCATGCATCCAATATCTAAAGCAATTTGAAAAATCACATAATAAATAGAACTGATCAAAGCACATGTGGTTATTCTATTTGGGTTTGTAAGACATTTATCTTAAGAAAAAGCTCTCTAAAAAAGAGAAAATATTATACTAACAATCTTTCAACAATTTCTACTTCCTTGACTAAGGATTCAAAGTATAATGAACCATTTTAAAAGATAAACTTTACTGGGAAGTCTAGCTTGAAGAAATAAACAAACAAGGAATGATTTCATTTCAAAGTGTTGAATAAAAATCAACCAGAATGAAAATGCTTTGTAACCTTATTAATTCTAATTCCACTAATTCAGAATCTGGTACTCCTGATTTTAGAACTTTTAAAAAGTAAATTAACTATGTAAGATTTCGTCTAATACGTGTATCTACAATAATTTTACAATTATAACCAATTACAATTCAGTGTTACTCAGAATTTCTCTCAAAAGCTAAGCTAAAAATTTGTAATAAAAATCAGTGGAAAAGATTTCCTCAAATCCCCAAAGAAATTAATTTTCTATACAACATGAATTTAATATTTTAGACAGATAAGACAAGTCCAACATTATTATGGTTCTGTGAACTTCTAAGACACTTTTGATATATATCCTTTCATATGACTGTTTTCTAAAGACGGATATCTAGTTTAAAAAAATCAGAATTAAGTTTTTTCAGATATATGCATATTGGTAGTATTGAGGGGGAAAAATCAGTGATCATCTCTTATTAACATTTTTAACCCTTTAAGATATATAGATTTAGAAATAGTAAGACAATAATCAATAAGAAAAAAAGTTGTAAATCCCTGCCAACTCTGCAGAAGACACTTTCTTTTCACAAGTTGTTTTCTTCACTGATTCCTCTTATTCCTCCAGAACGCAGACTGTTCCAACTCCCCTTGTCTCAGTCCTCACCATTTCCCTCTGAGCCTTCTCATCCTATAGCCTCACACCATGTAACTGAAAGGCTTAACATGTCCCTTTTCTGATGCTTCCCAAAATATTTGATATATCCTCTCATCTAAAGATTCAAACCCATACTTTCAAGTGTTCATTGAATATCAATCTTCATGTAAACAGCTTACCTTCACTTGAATTAAAACATATTTAAAACTAAAATGTCAACATTCATGTCCCCAACTCTCAGATTCCTTCTTTTTCAGTGAATTATTCACCTGACCAGAATAGAAACTCTTGACAAATTTTTCAAATAAAAATGGCAGAAGAAAAAATAAGCTAATTCCATTTTATTGCTCCAGCAAAGCACATCTGGCCAACAATATAACTGGCTTCCTTTGTTCATCATTTTCTACTCTTGCTATCATCACTTTCTATACAACTGTACTTACAACAGTTTAAGCCTCCAGCATTATCACCGACACTGAAGAATTTGTCATAGTAAGTCTGAAATCCCCATTCAAGGCCCTCTAACAGTGAGCCACACATTCTATTCCTATTCTATTCTTTTCCCTACATTTCTTGTCCAGCTCATTTCCTTCTGGTGTGCTTCAAATCCAGCTATTTCCTATTGCCTATAAAACTTCCCTCAGTTTTAATGTCAATCTAAACTGTATGCTTTCCCCAGTGTTCAATACAGAGCTGAACTTCCTTCATGAAACTGACAATTCCCCAAAACTTTTTCTTAGCATTTGTAATTTATATATACAACCTCCCACATAATTATATACAGCTTTACTACATAGTATTAAATCAGAATGCATAGGAAATTAGTAAAGATTTAAAAGATTTCAGTTGTCAGTATGAATACTGAGACCAAAACAAAAAAATATATAAAACAAAACAACACAAATTATTTAACTATAGAAAAGAGAATTGGTGAAATTTTTTAAGAGAAGCAATGTGAAAAAAACTATACAAGATTACTAAACTGAATGTTCTCTTCTTTCCCTTATTATTATTCCTCTAATTTGTTATGCCTTTATTTTGGCTCTTATACTGATATCTGTACTATAGCAAAAGCATGGTTTTTTTTTTCTTCCTGTTTCCTTCTTTTCTGTCAACCCTATTCAGTCAATATACTATAGCCTATCACCATGTCCTATCACTTTTTCTTTTATTGCCTCTGTCACCATTTCTATCAATATCTAGTCTTCCTTAAGATATGAAGAAATTGGTCCATGCTTCAACCCCAGTAAACTGATGAACCCCACTGCCATTCTGATGCTAGATGTGACAGGACAGGTTATTTTTTTTAGCCATCTAATCAAAACTTAGGCTGTAATTTATAATTGCAGCACAGAATTTTTCCTTCATAAATACAATTTTGTTTTAAAGACATTAAAACATTGCTCTTGGCTTCTTTAGACCGGTGCACTAAACAACTGAGCTAATTAATCAATATCGGATGTTTATTATTACTTTATTGCGTTCAGAAAGGAAGGGAGAGGGAGAAAGAGATAGAAACATCAATAATGAGAATCATTGATCGGCTACCTCCTGCATGCCCCTACTGAGTTTAGAGCCACAACCCAGGCATGTGCCCTGACCGGGAATGGAAATGTGACCTCCTAATTCATAGGTCTGACACTCAACCATTGAGCGACACCGGCCGATTTTTATATAAACTTCTACATATGTTAAGAAAAGTGTTCCAGTACATGGGAGAATGAGAATTTGGAGCACTTACTGCAGGTTCCGCCACTGAACATTGGAATAGTTTCAAACATCATCTTGTGAAACAACAGTGCCACTGGTCTATAATCCAGATGATTCTTTAACAGGTAGCTATAATAATACACATAGCGCCTCTGACTGGGAATAGTTACTCCCTGGTGAACAGAAAAAGAGAAAAGCCAAATTCAAAAGAAAAGTTCCATTACAATTGTTTCACTTAAATTATTGTGGTAACTGGATTGTACCCACTGAAGAACATATTTACATTAGAAATTTGACCTTAAATGATTAATATTTAAGTGCAGCACATTAATAGTAAATCAGAGCAACATCATTTGCCACTGAAATTTACATTTGTCTGATATATTTTTAATAAATTATTTTTTATCCTTAGTTGTTTATGTAAATCTTTGTATATGATTAACTTCTTTAAAAAGAGACTTAAAAGTATAGGTTATACACATCTTTTAGTGCTATAATTCCATGTAACTAACTACCAAACCAGAATACTACTTAAATACCACAAGATATGTAATGTTTTGTTCATATTCTATGCATCAGTACTCTCAGATCATCTTCTCTACTATGAATTCACAATCTAGATTTCTCAGTTAAAAAAGTAATTTTCTACTTCAGTTCTAAATTCAGAAATAATGTAGATTATTTTAATATACAATGTTTGCTTGTAACTTGGAAAACTACATTTCAGAATGATCACAAGATTATCACAGGAAAGTAACTCACCAAAGGAAGAAATGTGGCTCTTAGGAATGGCTATTATTACAATGACAACATATAACAGTAGTTATTGTATATTAAACAACATGCCGAACATTTTACATATATTCCTAACACTACAACTCTACCAAAAACATTCTATCACCTCTTATTTTAAGGATAAAAAGTCTGAACATAAAACATTTTGCTCAAAACCTGCATCTGAATCTAAATGTGAATCTGATTCTAAAACATTTTTTTAATCCTGACCTGAGGATAGGTTTATTGATGAGAGAGAGAGAGAGGGGGGGGGGGAGAGAGAGAGAGAAAGAGAGAGAGAGAGAGAGAGAGATATCTAGATATCCATTGGTTGCCTCTAGAGCTGATTCTAAAACGTTTTACTCCCCCATCCTGGGTTTTACTAATAGTATACCTACTAACTATGTGGTTAAAAAAAACAAAAAGAAAACAAAGAAAATAAAAAAATAGTAAGACCTCTTTGAGCTCTTATTTTTCCTATTTATAAAGAATCTCCAAAGTTTAGCGTATTATAGTACTTTAATTCTACGCAACTAACTAAACCATAATTGGTTGAGATACATAAATGGTGGTGCATGAACCACAGAATCCTGAAGACTAATAATATGAAGCAGACCACTGCCATTTTTCTCTCCACACAGCATCCTTTCTCCTTGGAGAAGCCATCATCCTTCCAGTGGTTTGTGGGTGTGGAAGGTGAACCCTATTCTTCAGCTTCAGATAAATGCCCAAGCCTCTGGCCAGACTGTTTAGTTAAGGAATGGGTACATACCCTAATCCAGTTGAGCTAGAACCTAATGTAGGAATTTTAGCTCAAATCATAGTTCTCTTCCCACCACATCTGCTAAAGCAGGCAGAATGTAAAGCTAGAGCTACTGAGAGTTATAACTTGCCGTTCTATTAGAGAGCCTGCCTGAAAATAAAGTATATACAGAGAAAAGAAAGAGTTGAGAGAGATTCCTGACATCTGTTAAGCATCTAGATCCAGGCCAGAGCATTTTTAGCGTAAGATAGCCAATAAACAAGTCTCCTTTTAAGTTATTTTGAGTTTATTTGAAATTAAACGAGTTCTAAGACATTATATATAATACAAATGCTTCCCCTCACCCTTTTCAGTTTCTATTTCTACTTCTTTGGAGATGAAAATAATAAAAGAAAAATAATTCAGACAAGAGAACATAGTACAGTAGAAAGAATAATGGATTTGAATTTAGCAGTATGATTTTGATATATACAGATATTAAATGACCCAGGACAAATTGATACTTGCAGATCTGTTTTATTATTTATATTAGAATGGGACTGAATTAAATATTAAGTCCTTCAAGGTATAAAATCTTACAACTTTATTAATATATAAATTGGATAATAAGGCTTACATACTGTGTATTAGAAGAACAGAGTTTAGTCCAGGAGAATATGTTAGAAAAAATAAAAATGTTATATTAAGAGTTTTTTTTTAAATGTTTTCTTAATTTTTTAAATTATTGATTTGAGAGAGATACATAATTGGTTGATTCTTGTATTTGCCCTAACAGGGGATCGAACTGGCAATCTTGGTGTAGCAGGATGATGCTCTAACCAACTGGGCTACCAGGCCAGAGCAGAAGAGTTTTTTAAAAGTTGAGAAAGAGCATAATGATAGCTTATTTTTGTTTTAAATAAAGAGAAAATGATAAAATTTCATTTGGTTACTATCTGGGGAGATTTAGTATATAGACTAGAAAAAAAATAACCTGATTATGATAGGGCATAAAAATTCATTCTTCAAAAAATGAGAAAATTCCAACTTCTTGGATCACTTAGAATAAAGTTAGTATTAATTATTTAAAAGCTTTAAGTATTCATTAAAGATAAAGGTTATAAGCTCACTTACAGAGACCATAAACATATAGGAACTGTCTCTCTAATTATTGCTTTGGAAAAAAATTAAAGTTCAAATGTTTTTTCTGAAAGTTTAATCAAAGAAAATAAATGTTAATGTGTTCTTTACCTCTACCAACTGAAAGGGGGAAAACAAGGGAAAGAGGGGACTAGCAGCAATTCTGGGTGAGTTTGCCATATAATAAAAGTATGCCTCTTTAAATTCAGAACATTTGGAAATCTTTTCTAAATGCATAGTTATCAGTACTCATAGGATGTTTTAACTCTTTACTCATAGTTTACAATAAATATTGTGAATTACTAATTCAATTCTGAAATGTAAATGCAGACACACACATTGTGAGGAATAGGACCAAATAGAAAACCACCCTAGGAGTTGACCTATGGAGATGTAACGCAGTTGCCTTCTAATAAATTATTGAATGAAACATAGTCTTCCTTTCCTCAAGAAGTTATCCCACTATCAGAAATTTTTTTTCTTTATAGGAGTCATGAGTTGTACCTTGACTTCTACCAAAAATTCATTACCTGAAAGTATTTGGACATTACTAACACAATGGCACATTTCATGGTAACCTGGCGCCCACCACTCTGCCACCTAATTTGCATTAGTCAGCTGAGGAAATAAAAAACTCTGCACCAGATTATTCTTTACCAAAACATGACATATGGCTCCTCTTTCTTGGAAATAAGGGTGAGGCGGGGAAGAGAAAGTAGAGAATGAGAGAAAGGAGGAGGAAAAGAGAAGCAGCGTTCTGTTCCTATATAAATGTCACCAGAACAAAATTTCATTCAGCCTTTTAATATTTCTCTGCAATTATAATTAAGGATATAAGCAAAACAACTTATAAGTCAGTTCTAATAAAATTAATCAAATACAAAGTAAAAATTGGTAAAATATATATATCTCCTATAACAGTGGTTCACAATTATAAAAATGCAAACCTACAGACTCAACCTAAAAGAAAATATTGGCAAGGGAATATATTTAATAGCTGATGCTTCATAAATAAAAGTACTTTCGATAATGAATTATATTCATTATAATATACTTCTCTGGAATAATTCCATAGTTGTATAACAACAGCTTATGCTCAACTAAGTTCTCTTATGATGAAATTAGTTATAGTCTTTAAAGTTTAAAAATATATTATTTCAATCCTGACCAGGTAGCTCAGTTGATTAGAGTGTCGTCCTGATACACCAAGGTTTCGGATTTGATTCCCAGTCAAGGCACATATAAGAATCAACCAATAAATGCATAAATAAGTGGAATGATAAAAATTGATGTCCCCCCACTCCCCTCTCACTTCCTTTCTCTCCCTCATCAATAAAAAAGTTTTTAAAAAAAATATATATTATTTCATTAGTACGTACTCCAACTATTAGATAAACATGAAATATATTTGAACATTTTTCTTTTTATTTTTTAAATATATATATATATATATTTTTTTTTTAATTGATTTTGTACAGAGAGGAAGGGAGAGAGATAGTTAGAAACATCGATGAGAGAGTCATTGATCAGCTGCCTCTTGCACACCCCCTACTGGGGATATGCCCGCAACCAAGGTACATGCCCTTGACTAGAACCGAACCCAGAACCCTTCAGTCCCCAAGCCAACGCTCTATCCATTGAGCCAAACTGGTTTTAGCTATTTGAACATTTTTAACTACTTAAATCAGGGGTCATTAAATGCCTTAGCATCTGTAAAGAAGGATATAAACTGAGGAACCTTTCAAGATTGGCCAATTTCATCAGCATTACATGACCTTTAAGAAGAGTTTGACCCTGTACAGAGATTAATTCTGAACAGCCTCAAAATTCTTTTGCAATTTCAGGATTTGTGAACTTAAGAGTATAGAAGGAAGATCAACAGTGTGCCAGGGAACTAAAGTTTCACTGACTGCTGTCATTAACTGCATAATCTTAAAGCATTTCATCTTCTGGGCCTCAGTTTTATCATCTATAAAATAAGAAACATTCCTGAAAAAAAAAAATCCTATGACTTTTATCCACTTTATTTAGCTTTCTAATGTTAATTCAACCTAAAATGCAAATGACACCATTTAGTAAGATATAGCTTTGCCAACATCTACTCATAAATTCCTCTTTTCTTTTTAAAATATACACAGGGATAAAGGTAGGAGGAGCACATTAGGATACTCTTAGAGCCTGTGAATAATTAATACCCCCAAAATGATCCAGGTATATTAATTAATCATGAACTAAGCACAGATCTGAATTATTTCATTCCAAGATGCTAAAAGTGATCAATTCTGGCTAAATTACTCAACTCTGAATCTTATTATCATATAACAGTTAAACATAATGTTTCTGCATTCATCCTTAACAGTATGCACAAACTCCATTTTTTAAGCCCAATACCTTTTACTTAGGGGATAATCCAATCCATAAGAGGATGGAGAATATGCTGTGCTTAGAGCAGTTATGCCGATGATGTGGGTGCTGTTACACTCAACATGACAAAATTTACTATTACATGACATGACAAACTTTACGTTTTCTTTTCATAAATATTTCTCTGCTATATTTTTACTGTGGCCTCTATTGGGGCTTGACATTTCATCCAATTTCTCCTCACTCTATGGAGAAACAGAATTGACAATATTACCATGTTATGATGACTAAATGTCTTCCAACTGACCAATTAAAGTATGCCCTCACTTTTTTTACTATGGAGACTTCTCTTGCATCTTAGAGAAAATAAAGTGCAATAAAGCTTAAGAATACTTGGGTTTTACTTTTAACTCTGAACATGATGAGATGTAATATCCCAAGTGCTTCTTCTATTGCTAGTTCTCTCTGTCAGAAGCATTCAGTCAACTATCCTGCAGAAGCACCTGCATCAGAAAGGGAGCATATGTGTTCCTGTTTAGGGGTGAGGGTGAAGATGTAAGAGGGGAGGAAGGAGGGGGAAAAGATTGAACACGTGAAAGCACAGTTGAGTTAGAAAATTTTAAACCATTACAAAATTTTTATTTGCCCCCAACTTAAAATTCTTGATTAAAGCATGCTACCAGGCTGTTGGCTGTAATGCTAACCAAGCAAAAAAAGTCACACAGTTGAATGTGGTGAAGGCAAATACCTCAGAAATGATCAAACGTATTTGTAACTTATAATAGAAAAGACTGTTGCAGTATCTCTGTCAAATAATTTTTATTCATTTAAAAAAAATAAATTTTCTATTTCCTGAAACTATGAAGCAAGTCTTGAAAGGCTTAGAAATACCACTTTCCTTCAGCATATGATTCTCAGCTTTGCCAGCTACTAATTTTCATCAAATACATCCATGGTAACATAATAAAAAAAAATCCTATTTTAGAGTTCTTTTTGGAAACTTCAAAGGATACAACATTTTTAGAATGGTGAAGTCTCTTTGCAAAATACAAACAAACAAAACACAAACAAATTAAAATACTCTCCTGAAGAAATTTCTTTACTCTGTAGACACAGATAATTTACTTTAATACCTGGCAAAAAATCTGTTTTTGTTGCTTTGGTAAAAAGACAGGTGTTGTGCATGTCAATGTGACTTTACTTTGTTCATCAGTATGCACTGAGGTACAAGACTCTACCATCAATCCTGAGAGAAATCTATCTATCGCTGTGAGAGTATTCTACTGCCTCATGAGTGCCAGGCCTTAAATCATAGCCTATGCAAGAGGATTTCTCATAAAAAAAAAATCTATTGTGAAAAGTGCCAAAGTCATAAAAGTCAAGACTTTCAATCAAGGGGGTCTTAAGAGGTTTTGTCAAGAAATAGAAGCAACTTCTTCGTTCCACACAAGTTCAATGGCTTTCAGAAGACAAACCTATAGCCAGAATTTTGATGCCGTCAATTGAACTCATTTACAGTTTAACTCTTCATTCTTAAAACTAAAATGTGTAGTCATAATCCTTTCCTTCCCAACATTCTATTAGGTCAGGATCTTGCCAAAAATGATCTTATTAACTAGAAAGTAAAATCAATACAAATTTACCTGCAGAGTCTTAAAAAATTCTTATTTCTTGACACAACACTGTCAAAAGAATCTACAGATTTTATTTGTTCTTTCATTCTTGTTTGAGATAAGATTTTTCAGTACTTGTTTTGACCAAAAAAATAAAATAAAATAAAATAAGTCAAAACTGATTGGCTATCAAAGATGACACAAAGGCTGCCAAATCAAAGAAAAAGGAATACTTTAATGTGTTATTTAAAAGCTAAACAGCAGCCCTTTCATTAAAATTTACTATTGAGTGGAACTGATGCTTAATTCTGGTTAATTTGTAACACTTAGATTTAGTTATCTTTCTCAAAAAGTGGTCATTGATTTTTTTTTTTTTTAAATCCTCACCCAATTTATTGATTTTAGAGAGGAAGGGAAAAAGAGAGAAACACTGATGTAATAAGAGAGAATCATTGATCGGTTGCCTCCGTTCACACCCAAACCAGGGATCCAGCCTGCAACCTTTTGTTTAGGGGACATTGCTCCAATCAACTGATCTTCTCAGCCATGGAATAGTCACTGATTTTTGCATGGGGAAAAAAAAAGGAGAAATAATTCTTATAAGAATTTCTTTCATATTCTATGTTTAAAAAATAGTTTTCAGTGCAGTTAAAATCTATTAAGAAAAATTTTATGGCCCAGCTAGCGTGGCTCAGTAGTTGAGCGTTGACCTATGAACCAGGAAGTCACAGTTCAATTCCTGGTCAGGGGACATGCCTGGGTTACAGGTTCGATCCCCAGTGTGGGGCATGCAAGAGGTAGCTGATTAACGATCTTCTCTCATGTTTCTTTCTCTCGCTCCCTCTATCTTTCTGAAATCAATAAAAATACATATTTTTAAAAAATTTTATGATCATGTACACCTTGAACATTCTTGGAGAGAATATTTACAGTTTCCACTATATTTTTAAAAAATGTATAACATGGTTTAAGAGCTTCTAGCTTAAATCTAGTGTTATGGTGCCTTATTACACAGATTCTCTAATTTCTTATTTAAATTCCTCTTACCTGCTTTCTTTTCCACTATCAAAATGGTTGCTGCTCATCAACCCTGTTTTAAATTTCTACCACTGCTTCTGCAACTGTTATTTTAATTTTATCCACTTCTATGTGGTTTTCTTCTAATTCAATCTCTTTTCCTGTGCTGCTCTGCATTTATTCACGTCAGTGTAAAACAATTTACCTTCTATGATTTTAATCAGCAGAAGCAAATTTTCCCTACATGATGAAAGGATGAAACAAAGTAAACATCTCAGGTTTTCCACTCTGGAATTCATTCCAGTGCTATTAACCCAGGATACACACAATATCTATAATAATAAAGGTATAATATGCTAATTAGACCAGACATCCTTCCAGATGAAGCAAGGTTGCAAGGGAAGCCCAGGTCCTGGAAGGTGCCTGCCAGTGGTTGGAGGGAAGCCAGTGGCAGCAGCTGGGGAAATAAAGGCCTACTCTTGCAAGAATTTCGTGCATCAGGCCTCTAATACAGAAATGTAAGTCAATCTATCGTAATCAACATTCACTAAAATCATGCACTAATATAAAATTCAAGTTTTAAAACTAGAACCAATAAACAGCACTTTGGCATCATTAGATATAACTCAAAAAAAGTCACAAAGACATATACAACAAAAAAAGGGGAGGGGCAAAAAGATCAACTGCATCAATAACTATGCAGTTGAAAATAATGGATATTATCACTTGTTTTGAAGTTGAATTAAAAAAAGAATTTCCCTGATTTTAAAATTACTAAAACTAGAATAAATTTTTCACATTAAGTTATATTTCCCTCAATAGGTGCTCTTTAAAATGAGTTTCTCCATCTATCTTGGAATGGTTTTGGAGACAGAGGAATGTACAAAATTTCTTTATAAGAAATGTAAACATTCTGTCATATTTACTGTACAAAGAAATAAATCTCTTTAAGAAATCACTGTAAAAAGTTCTAAGAGTCCACTTTTGCTTTTAAATTTACCACACAATTAAATTTGTCACTGATTTTTCTAAGAGTCTTTAGTTTTCTGAATAAGAGAACCTCTGACTAATCTTAACCACTTATATTAATATCCATATTTTAAAAATCTTTATTTATTATAAAAATAAAGATCATACTTTACTAGGTAATGTATGATCCAAGTTATTACCTAAACACATTTTATTCTCAGTCAAGCTTCAGAAATTTCAAGCTTATTTTTTATCAATGTGCAGTGCTTTTAAATGTTCTGTATGTGAGACTAAATATGCTAATACAGTTCATAGATAAGACTGCTAGCACGACATGAAAATTCTAGCAAAAAAATTCAATCAGAACATTTCAATCAGTTATTTGCTCACATAAAAGTTTAAGGTAGTAACTGATTTAAATGTTTAGGAAAAAGATAAAAGGTTACCAGCTTTCTTTATAAAAATTGGTTTTCCAATAAATTCTTAAATCTAGGAAGCAGAAAGGAAAGCAAATACAACCTACCTTTTTGTCTCTGGTCCTTACTTCCCCATAGAAATCTAGAGCCTCTTGTGCCTTTAAAAATTTGCCCCGATGTAACAAATATGCACAAATCATTACACCAGTTCGTCCCTTTCCAGCTTTACAGTGAATTGCTGCAACATGATTGTCGTCTTCACTTAGCCATTGGTCAAGATCTTCACAAAAGGGTTTGATAAGTTCTAGCTGTGGTGGATTATGGTCTTCAAAAGGATACTGTGCAACTGTGGTTAAAAAGAAAACCCTCAGAATAAGAGAAAAGTCACTTCAGAATTGTTTAATAAAAGTAAGTTAATTTTAGAAATGCTATATATATAAGCTCTCCCGATGTTTAAAAGAAAAACTTAACTTCAGAGAAAAATCATTTATTGCTTAATAAACTTTCTAATTTTTTAATAGAAGTGAAGTCTCATTAACTGTTTAACTTATCCATTGGACAAGGAGATCAAGTATTATTTTCAAGAAGTTTTTATGGGCTCTGAGATAGAAGTCACTACACCTGAAGAATAATTCATTTAAAGTAGTTCCCTGTTCTCACCTTTCAGGTTCCCCTTTCCCATATTTTTATGCACTTTCCACCTTTTATATCATGCTCCTTAATAGAGTTAAATTGTTCTGTTTTCTCTGTATAATCTCTTACTACCATATCAAATGTCTCAAAAAAAAGATATAAACCCCACCTTATTCTATTGTTAATCTAAAAATTTCTCCTAATTATTAGTCCATTCTGCAGTTTAGTTGTCTTAATATTTTTGGCAGGTTTATATGGCAGTTGTTTCCTAAAACACAACAGCCAAATATTATATTTTTTAATATTTTTAATTTGGCAAATATTTATCTCACTTAACAATTGAGATGATAATTATTGCTATGACAGTAAGATTTAGACTATTAGTTTTACATTATTTAACATAATACAGTATATTTATACCTACCTCTGCAGTTAAATTTGGCGGTATCATAATGTCTTTCAGCACATCTAAAAGAGAAGTTTAAATTTGATATAAAGTTATCTTTTACAATTGAGAAAAAAGTATAATAGTAACAAACATTTTCTGAACCTTCATAATGTGCCAGGCATTATGTTAAGTATTTTATATTAACTATTTTGTTTAAGCCTGTGAAGTAGGTTCTGTTATTATCCCCATTTACAATTAAAAAGACTGAGGCTTAAAATGTTAAGTGTATATAATTAAAGCTTATGCATTTGCTTAACAAAACTTGTGATGTCACTAATATACAACAGTGTAAATTCAGCTGCATCTATACCTTCAAATTTCCTTTATGGAAATTTTACATGCTAATGAAGTTTATGGAAATTTTACATGCTAATGAACTTTTTAAGATCATCTTTACTTCACAGTTGAGCATACCCAATTTTCTCAAACTATTATTTAAAAAGACATGATAAAAATAGTAAAATTATAAGTGAAAAGGAAAAAACTAAATGATGCTAATCTACTCAGACACAATACTTATTAAACTTTTTTTAAAACCAGACCTTTCTCTTTTTAGATAAGCCAAAGGTCGTCTTTTTTAATACCCTCTCAAGTTACAAATTTTAATTAAAGCTTTAGAGTAAAAGAAACCATAATAAGTAAAATCAATACAGAATAGTAAATGTTGAGTTAACATTATCATTGGTCATGCTCAAACTTGTCTTTTGAATAGTAGTGACATGTTTGTTATCATTCACTGGCTTACTCATGATTAATAGGACATGTTTATAAGCATCAATAGGCTCAGAAAGGGATACCATATATTAATTTGTGGTCAACAGCATCCTGGTAATTCCAATTACTAACCAAACTATATTTCTTAAAAAAAATTTTATGCCCTAACCGGTTTGGCTTAGTGGATAGTGTCGGCTTGCAGACTGAAGAGTCCCAAGTTCGATTCCAATCAAGGGCATGTACCTTGGTTGCGTGCACATCCCCAGTAGGGGGTGTGCAGGAGGCAGCTCATCGATGTTTCTAAATTTCTATCCCTCTCCCTTTCTCTATGTAAAAAATCAATAAAATATAAATTTAAAAAATTATTTTTTTAAAATAAATACAGATCCATAAGCCCTTAATCGACAATCCCAAAATCCCCAAAGCCTAAAATATCTACCATTTTTTTTCTTAAATTTATGGCCAATTGGATTTATGATATTGTATGTAGTTTTTAATTAATACACTTACAGTAAAGATTCAAACATTTCATTCTAGGTACTGTTCCAAATCCTATTGAGGGTGTTATAATAAAGTAAATGCTTCCCTGTTACATTTCTGAAAACTGAAGAAATTCTGAATGCCAAACACACTGAAACTGGGTCTCAGAACTGTTGGACACTGAAATTGGGACTCAAACGTTTTTTGTTATTATATGTTTATTTCTAGTCTGCAGTTGCAAGATTTTTCAAAGAAAAGAAATGGGGGGAAAATAGTTATAAAGAACCATTGAACAGACTGTCAAACTATAGCGGGAAGGCAAGTGAGGTTGGGGGGGCTGGGGGTTTGAGATCAGACGAAGGACTTGTATGCATGCATATAAACATAACCAATGGATACAAGACAGGGGGTGGGGGCCGCGCAGGTGAAGGCACATGGGGGGGGGGGGGGAGAAGTAGGAGAGGCTGGGGGGAGGTCATGGGGGAAAAAGGAGACATAGTATGAACTAATATTTATAATGCTTCAAACAAAACAAAAAACAAAAACAAAAAAATAAATAAAAGTATTTAAAAAAACAAAACACAACTGGCCCCCAAGAGTTTCAAATAAGGGATTGTGGACCTATATTTTGCACTTGGAAATCCTGAAAATATCTGTATAGTTTCTCTACTTTAAACAGATTTATACCCATTGAATTAATTATAAACAAATTGCATTTCACTAGTTTCTGGTCAGACCTGAAATAAATAAACTTTTATATTACTGCTCAAAACAAAACTTTTCCATTTTAGCTTATTATAATTTAGTATATTGAGTTTTGCTAGAAAATTTATTCAGGAATGACATATACTCATTCTTGCAAAATAAATTCACACACACATATTAAAAGACATGAAAGGTGGAAAGAAAAGGACTGGTTATGAAAACAGTCACATCGCACACTTTCTTTGGTACAGATTAAAGAAACAACATGGTCAATAGTGAAGAACCCATAATGAAATATTTTCATAAGGAATCATGTAAATAAGACAGGGATTAGGAGGTAATGGGGGGAGGTATAGGCTAGGTAAAATTCTAAGAAGCTGGTCTCATGATAGCACAACAAAAAAATAAACATCTTAGGTTTCATACAGATTCAATTCTCTAAAATCCCCATGCTCTCTCTGAAGCTCAAAATGTTTGCTTTGACCAATAGTGCCTAAGACTACCTTCATAAACGGATTTTCAAATATTACTGTTAAGAGGAAGAAATGGAGGGAAAGTGGAAACAATGAGCTACTAAATGTCTACTAGATGCACACACCTTACAAAGGAGTTCCCCTTTTTTTTTTTTATTCATCCTCACAACCATGTGGTAATAGTTAATATTTTATATATATAAAAGCTAAGATTTAGAAACACACTAAAAAACAACAAAAAACTTGCCCCAAACCAAAATAAGTAAATGGAAGAACCAGAATTCAAGCTATAATTATATAATTACAAAAGTCAAACTTTTTCTAGTACTGCTCCATACTCTTATTTATAATAAAAACTGAAAATAGTTTTAAAAACAAAGCAATAACAAAATTTAGTCAAAGCCTGTCTTCCTACAAGACCAATATTTGGCACAAAACAACGAACAAATAGTGATGATGAAAACATGAAAAGGCTATGAAAATCTCTACAGGTATGGATAGGGAGTATGTGATAATAAATACTGGGGCTGGTAGTGATGAAAGTGATCTGGGGAGAGCTGGTAGAGTAAGAATAAAGATTTTCTTAATTAAAACATTCTCTGATATTGCATACACACCCTCAAAAACACAGTTTCTTGTAAATTTTTTGCTGTATGTTAAGTCTCTCAACAAACCAAAATTGAAGATACATAAAAATAAAGCAAATGGCCCTAACCAGTTTGGCCCAGTGGATAGAGCGTTGGCCTGTGGACTCAAGGGTCCTGGGTTCAATTCCAGTCAAGGGCATATATTTTGGTTGCTGGCACATCCCCAATAGGGGATGTGCAGGAGGCAGCTGATTGATGTTTCTCTCTCATCAATGTTTCTAACTCTCCCTCTCCCTTACTCTCTGTAAAAAATCGGTAAAATAATTTTAAAAATAAAGTAAATGGGATTTGACTACGACAAGTGTTAGAATTAATGATTTATACTTCTTTATAATTAAAACTCAACTTAAAAGGTATTTTATCATCACCTTATATTGGCTTTTTTGAGACAAGAAAAATGAAGAGGCAGTGAAGGGGATTTTTATGAAATAGCAAACAGAAAGTGAAGAAAGGGATAAGATTAACAGGAAAAGCTTCCTTTGAAGTAAGACTTAACATGGAATCAGCTAGGCATGTAGGTGTCTTCTGTAGTCTCTTCAATGGAGCTATCCTCATCTTGCAAAAGAAAACTAAATTGATAAAAATTAACAATAGCTAAATGTTTACTGCAAAATAATGGAGAGGTTTTTTGTTTGTTTGTTTTTTACCACAAAATAATGGGGAGTTGTTTGTCAAATAGAATATTCAGTATCCAGTGAACATTTAAGTTCCTCAAAGGCAAGAAATATATTATGTCTTCACTCCCTATCTCCCCACTCCTCCCCTTACTCCCACCAGAATTCAGATTATACAGAGGAACACACAAAAATAAAATACACACACTTGCACAAAATAACTAATTTACTAAGTATCAGTATACCCGAGTTTGGTATGACAGATTAAATTTGTCCTTTCTTAAATAACAAATTCAGTCTGTATATATAATAAAAACTCTTACTATTGCCTGGCCAGCATGACTCAGTGGTTGACTATCAACCTACGAACCTCAAGGCTAATCCCCAGCACCTTTTACTTTCTTCCAGGAGGTTTACAGGTTGATACTCAAGGCTATCCCCAGTGTGGGAAGTGCAAGAGACAGCCAATCAATGACTCTCTCTCATCATTGATGTTTCTATCTCTCTCTCTCCCTTCCTTTCTGAAATCAATTAAAAAAAAAAAAAACGTTTAAAAAATAAAAAGAACTCAATATTACATTGAGAACTTCTCTTCATCCATATATGTCAGAAAGTGCCATAAAAAGTTTAGTACACTATTAAATTTAGGTACGTCTAGTATAAATATTTTAATATCTCCCCTTTTATATATGTTTGTAAAGACATATATCACATAATTAATATGCTAAAAATTAAGAAAATAGAAACATCCACTTCTTGCCAGACTCACTTATCCTGAGCCAGAAATATATACAGGGGTAGGAAACAAGTGAAGAGGACTGAAAAGTGACATTAGAAATCAAAATATGCTACAACTGGGTAGTTCTACAAACTTCTGAAAGTAAGTAAACTTTGAGGAGGTTAAAAACAACAACACAAAAACAAACAAAATAACCCAGAAAGGGGATACTGGCATAAACTGGGCATGGTCTGCTACCGTGTATATCTGTGTGAACTTATTCAACTCACTAACTTCTCTAAGTCTCAGATTCCCTATCTGTAAAATGAGGTTGGACTAAATTATCTCTTGCAGATACTTTCTAGTTCTGACAGTCTATGATTCCGTTAAATGGAGTGGAGAAAGGGAGTTAAATATATGTACCAAAAGCTATTCTCAACTAATAGCAAGACAGTTCATCAACTTGAGAATCCAATGTTCAAAAATACAAAAACAGTCAGTCAAGTTCCCAATGTCGACGTTAACCATAATAATGTTAAGTGAACCACAATACTGACAGTATAAGGCTAAATCCTAAATTCTGGAAGCAGAAAGCCATGGCATACATGAATGAAAAGAATTTCCTTTCCTATCTCTGAACATAATATCAAACTTGAATAAAATTTTGAAAAGGGAAGAATTTATATTTAGTATCTCTTTCTACCTTCTTTCAGGGACCTCTAGATGCCCAATCCTGAGAGTCTTAGTTTGAATTTACTCATTTAATGGATTACAGCTTTTGACCACTTTTTTTTTTTTACTTAACTCCTAAATCCAGTTGTTAAAAAAGTACAAAGCTTTGTGATTTTTTATTTCCTGCACAGAAACCCTCTGGCATCTGAAACAAGGACTACTGTAGGAAAAGTTAATCAGGAAAAGAGGATGGATGATACATATACAGATCATTTATAAGCTAAAGCCCACCTAAATTTGTTTCTACAGCACCTTTTACTTTCTTCCATCTTGTCATCTACTTCTACCACAGCCTACACACACACACACACACACACACACACACACACACACACACACACACACACCAAAATCTGACCATAATAAATTATCTGCCATATTATGCAACAAGTTTCTTACATGCCATTTCCCCTCCTACTAGGCCTATAGGACAACCTCTCCTGAGTCTTTTCATCACAGCTCAAACATCCTTTTTTGTGTGAAATCATCCCTTTGGAGTACAATTACTATTTTGACTGTTTTCTAGACAGTCTCTTCTATCCAAGAGTTATCTCTTCTATAATATTTTATCTTGCACATTACTACAACTTACATGAGAACTAGAACTACATCTTATTTACCTTGACCCACAACATACTTTATCATGTCGAATGTGTCAAGTACATGATAAATGCTTTTTTGTAAATCTAAAGAAATTAGTGAAAACTCACTAGGAGAAACAATATTGGTGTCTACTTCACTCTCATGTCTTATCAGAACAGAAAGATCACTCAATTAAAGCTAAATAAATAAATAAGCAATATCTCACAAGCTAACAGACAGAGAATCTTTCATACTTTTTGGTAAAGATTTAAATGCTCATTAAAGATAGAAAAGAATCTTGTCCTTACATTTGATAAATAAATTCTATGAACCTATAACAGTGAACTGGTATAAGTAAATTCAGATTTAAAATTTTCCTGTTGTATAGTTTACACAGATCACATAGGAAAAATAAAATCCAGGGAGAAAATTAACACATATTATATGCCATTGTTTAAAAAATAAAAAATGATCATATTTTGGGGAAAGAAAAATAGTCCTCATGGGCAGAAATGGTTATATATTTTCTTCCCATTTTTCTTTAGTTCCCTTTTCCCTTTTCACATCTCTAATCACAAAGTAAAAAAACACACACACACACACACACACACACACACACACAAAAGGTTAAAGATAAGGTCAGCTAGGTGTATCAAATGGGCAATCCTTACATTCCTCCCTCAAACAAACAAAAAAAAAATGACCCAACTCAACAATTTTAATTTATTTATGTTATATACAGTTAGAGAATACCCTAAAAGCTGTTTCAATCAATTGACTTAGAGACACAAAATTAACAAAATTATATTCACTGTGGAGCATACCTCCTTAAAAGATGTCATTAATGCTTTAACAGAAGCTCTACTGTGTTCTACACTTCAAGTTACTACATGGTTATGAGTTCAAAGATGGGCTAACTGCCAAGTCATTTAAAGCATATTAAGTAACATAAATCTGTGCCAATACTGTTTTACCTCATCACTACACTTTCTAAATGACCTAACAATGCTCTCTATCAGATTTCTTAAACTAAAGCTTTTAGGAATACATTCAGTTCAAATATACCTTTAACTCTACCTCATTCTAACAAGAAAACAACTTTCAGTTAATAGTTATTTTAGAAGTATTTGGAATCATACAAAAAAGAAAATATACTTACAGATTGTATATCTTGTAATGGTTTTTATGCTTTGAATCCAAAAACCTTAAAATAAAACAAACAAACAAAAAGCCACCATTAACAAAAATAAGCTAACATTTGAAATTACATTAATAATATTGAGAAAAACCAAAAGACAGACTCTATTTTTCCTAATCTCAAGTAGCATTTAAGAGAAATAAACTCCAATAAATATTCCTTCCTTGGGTTAAAATTAGTAATCAAGTCATTCTTAAATAATTATTACATTACACAGATTTATACAATCTGAAGTAAAGCCATAGCTTTTCATAGGATATTTTCATAATCAGCCTACCATATTAAGAAATAACTTTCTTAAAGGGTAGTATAAGCATTTAGCTAAAGTTACCTAATTCATACAGATTTGCAAGAAGTAGTCACATGCAAGCAAGTAATCTTAAAAATAATCCTGAAAGCCATCATTTTTTTCAAACTAAAAACTTTCGATATTTGAAAGATGTAAGTAGAAACTATTAACTCTGTAATAGTTTAAACTATTACAGAGTTTATTAAGAACTTTCACATATATATTCTCATTTGATGCTCACAAACATCTGAGGTAGAGCTTATCCATATTTTACAGATGAGGGAAGTAGGTATCAAAGAAATTACAGGACTTGACCAAGGTCATATACAGTTAGTAAGTCAAAGAATCAAGACTAAAGACCTCTCCCTCAAAATAGTTAAGAAACTAACTACAGCAACAACGACAGGTAACACAAACTTATTATATACCAGGCACTATGTTAATTAAGTACATTATGTATATACATTTGTTTAATCCTATGAGGAATTAGAGAAGTGTAACTCTGGGGAAATGTCAGGATAAATAGAATATAAAAACAAATGGAAAGCAGAAGGTATGATTTTAAAAGATTTAAAGTCCAGGAGGTTCAATATATGAACAGGAGTTCCAGAGAAAATAATAGAAAGCACAAAAAATTCAAGAAAAATAGCCAAAAACTGCAAGGACACAAGTTTCCAAACTGAAGGACACAAAGGATATCCACAAAAATTATGAAAATAGACCCAAATAAAGGCATACATATCATATTGAAGTTTCTGAATTTTGAAGAGATAAACATAAGACCTTAGAGGAAATAGATTTAATAATAAGAATCTGTAATCATAATGACAATGCCCTTTTTAATGGTAACATTAGCAGCTAAAGAAAAAAAAAATTGGGCAAAACTTTCTTACTCTGAGGGAAAATTATTCCATACCAAGAGAGACTAGAAATCAAGTGTGAATATATAATAAAGGAATTTTTAAATTAGCAAAGTCTCAAATAATTTTGCTTCCTGTACATTCTCTCTCAGGGATTTACACCAAAATAATGAAACCATGAAAGAAGATGACAAGTTCCAGGAACTGAAGAGTCAATCTCATGAGAAGGGGAAAGAATGATGGCAAAGGAACATCTCAAGCAGACAGCATTACATCAAGCCTAGAGAACAACTAATCCAGATTAGGGCAGACCAGAACACTTCTAGAGAAAACAAGTCGATGCAATAACAAATGTGCTGAAACATACTGAGAGATTTATATAGCTGGGGGCAAGTTTAGAATGAATTAAAGAATATAGAAACTAAAGTTAAAAAGAGGGAGTGAAAAGGTAAGAAAATGATTTATAACTCCAGGAAAAACAAAATATGCAAATGATAGCTTTGTTGGGTAATGTAGTATAGGTCCTGGCTTTTCATCATTTTGAATATTTCATGCCAATCTCTTCTGATATGAAATGTTTCTGTTGAGAAGACAGCTGACAGTCTCATGGGAGCTTTCTTGCTACTTTTAAGATTCTTTGTCTTTAAAGTTTGCATTGAAATTATGGTGTGGGCCTCTTTGGGTTCATCTTGTTTGGGACTCTCTGCACTTCCTGAACTTGCATGTCTATTTCCTTCACCAGGTTAGGAAAGTTTTATGCTATTTCTTCAAATAGGTTTTCAATTCCTTGCCCTCTTCCTTCTGGTTTTCATATGATATGAACGTTGGTATATTTGATATTATCCTAGAGGCCCCTTGAACTATTCTCAATTTTTTTTTCTCAATTCATTTCATTATGCTGTTCTGATTGGGTGTTTTCTGCTACCTTTTTTCTAAATTGCAAATTCAATTCTCTGCTTCAGCTAATCCACTATTGATTCCCTCTAATGTATTCTTTATTTCAGTTACTGTATTCTTTATTTCTGACTGGCCCTGTATGTTTTCTATCTTCATTTTTATGTTTCCTATCTTTTTGTTAAAGTTCTCACTGACTTCATCTACTCTTATCCTAAGTTAATTAAGCATCCTTAAAACCATTGTTTTGGCCTGGCCAGTCGTAGTGGCATAGTTGAGCATTGACCCATGAACCAAGAGGTCCCGGTTCAATTCCAGGTCAGAACACATGCCCAGTTGTGTGTTTGATCCCCAGTAGTGGGTATGCAAGAGAGCCAATCAATGTCCCTCTCTCATTGATGTTTCTCTCTCTCTATCCCTCACCCTTCCTTTCTATATAAAAATCAATAAAAACTTTAAAAAACAACAACACTGTGTTCTGAAGTCTGCATCTAATAGATTTCTTATCTCCATTTTGTTTATTTCTATTTCTGGAGTTTTGCTGCTCTTTCATTTGGGAATGTTTGTCTCCTCATTTTGGCCGCCTCCCTGGGTTTGCTTCTTTGTATTAGGTTGAGCTACTTCATCTCCCAATCTTGATAGAGTAGCATTTTGCAATCGGAGTCATGTGTGGGCCTGGGCACAAAATCTCCTTGGTCACCTGAGCTGAGTACTATAGGCGTATCTCTTTGTGTGGATTGTGTGTCCTCCTGTTGTAGTTGAGCTTCGCTTGCTGTTTGGGATTGACCCTCAGGCTGATTGGCTGTGAGGAATGACCACAGTTACATGACAGGAGTTATTGCGAAGGGGTTGACTCCACAAAATAGTATTTGCTTTAGTGGGGCTCTAGTGCCTACAGAGTCTGCCATCTGTATGTCAGATGGATGTGTCATATGTATAGGTGTTTGGGTGGTACTCTGCTGTGGTCTGAACCTGGCTATGTGTGTTAGTTCTGGGACCTCGTAGGAGAATGTTGCATACCCTTTCACTGTCTCTTTTACTCTCTTTATCTTCTATATTCTTGTACATTTTCAATTTGTAGTTTTGAACTTTTTTTAAACTGAGGTAAAATTCACATACAGTAAATACACATTATCTTAAGGGTACAATTCTATGAGTTATGTTAACAACCACCCCGATCAAGATAAAGTACACTTCCCCCACCCCAGAAAAACTACTTCTTAACCACTTGCCCTCAAAACTACACCAACCTCCCAGGTAGCTACATGTGCTGGGGGGGTGGGGCAGCCAGGGAGAATTCAATGGGGTGGGGGGAGGGGAAAGAGACTTATGTAATACTTTAAACAACAAAGAATTTAAATTAAAGAAAAAGAAGCAGAGTTCCTTTTATGTGGCAACAGTCCTCCTTGAGAAATAATTAATTTTAATGAGATTCCTATTTATAAAATTTCTGAGGCTTTTCTTAATTACATCTTCATCCATACTAAGCCTATCTTGAGGACTTTTTAAAAAAATTATTGGCACATACTATCACAAAATCACAAATCTGAGTAAGAAATAACCAACAAAACAGAATAATACGTTAAAATGCTGGGAAAACTATCTTTTTACATCCCTCCTAGAGACTTTAGCCATAGCAAGTCCATTCTCTAATTTCTTTATGTCACTTTAGCTAGGTGACTATAATGTATACTCAAAGCAAACTTTTTATTCTCTTTAAAGTTTTAATTATTATTTAGTATATGCATAACAGCTGATAATTTCTGCTCCCCATTTTTTTATTTTTCTATGCTCCATTTAAGAAGTACTAAGGACTTACTAAATAGTCATTGGATTCCTTATAATATGCATTTTTTTAAAAATCACTTCAGCCAAAACCGGTTTGGCTCAGTGGATAGAGCGTCGGTCTGCGGACTGAAGGGTCCCAGGTTCGATTCCGGTCAGGGGCATGTACGTTGGTTGTGGGCACATCCCCAGTAGGGGGTGTGCAGGAGGCAGCTGGTCGATGTTTCTCTCTCATCGACGTTTCAAGCTCTCTATCTCTCTCCCTTCCTCTCTGTAAAGAAATCAATAAAATATATTTTTTAAAAAAATCACTTCAGTTCTAGAAAAGAAAAGTATTGAGATAACCTTTCATAAAATTAAATATCCTACAAAGTAACAGTGATTGAAAACAATACAAGAAAATACAATAGTGGCGACAAATAGGCATCAAATTGGTGGTGGCTTATTGAGATGCAACAGTCAGGCTATTAAAAAACATCAATGTTGGAGACTGAGAAAGAATATCATGATTGATTAGCAGTATCTGTCATTAATGAGAGAGAGAGAATAATATGAAAACTTTCACTCTATTTGCCATTTATAGAGAAAATCAATACAAATTTATGGGTAAAATTCAATAAAAATTAAACTTGAATATTATAAATTATGTGGTAGCAGTTATTTAAACAGATAACTTTATTTTTTAAAAAGTCTTTATATTGGTATTCAATCTAAAAAACTCATCTCTTAAAAATTTTGAGAATAACAGTTATACACTTTTGACCATTATATAGTATTTTCCTTTTGATACAAGAAAACTGGGCAAAATGTATGAGGCAACCATTTTTAGGCACTGAACAAAAGGCAGCACAAGCTTATGATCCTTACGAAAAGAGACAACCTGGCTGTTGTGGCATAGCGGTTGAGCATCGGCCCAGAAACCCAGAGGTATCTGGTTCGATTCCTGGTCAGGGCATATGCCCGGGTTGTGGGCTCCACCCTCAGTATAGGCCTTGTCGGAGGCAGCCAATCCGCTCTCATCAATGTTTCTATCTCTCTTTCCTTTTCCCTTCCTCTCTCCCTAAAAAGTCAATTAAAAACATATTTGAAAGAAAATAAAAGAGAGATAACCAATTCAATTAAAAAATGGGCAAAGGACCTAAATACACACGTCTCCAAAGGGGACATACAGATGATCA